ATGAAAGTATGAAGCCATCAAAATTAGTTTGACACTTTGAAACTAAACATCTGGCTCATAAAAACAAACCCTTGGAATTTTTCGAAAGAAAATTACATACCTTGAGAAATCAACAAACTTCTATTTGTAAGTTGAGTCATACTGATAAAAGTATACTTGAAGCATCTTATCTCGTAGCATTAAGACTAGCAAAGGTGTCCAAACCCCATATAATCACTGAAAACCTCACATTGCCTGCTGCAATTGATATGGTCAGTGTTTTAATAAGTGTGGAAGAAGCAAAAAACTTGAAAAACATTCCACTTTCTAACGACACAATATCAATGCGAATCAATGACACGGCTGCCGATGTTTGTGATCAGATAATTCAGCAAGTGAGTTCAAGTGAATTTTTCAAATGGAATACTAAAAAGTATTCAATTTAATGAATCAACAGATGTAGCAAATATGTCTCAGTTCTTATGTTTTGTGAGGTATGAATGCAATATGGGCACATCAATCAAAGAAAATATGTTGTTTTGCAAAACAGTACCGGGTCATGCAACAGGACAATGTCTTTTTGATATTTTTTATGAAGCTACAAGAAACTATACTAACATAGATTAGACAAAATGTATTGCAGTATGTAGTGATGGTGCAAAGGCGATAACAGGAAATAACAATGGATTAATGAAAATATTAAGAGATTGTCTTATACCAAGGGCGGAATGAATGCACTGCTTCCTTCACAGACATGCTCTTGTCACAAAAAATATGCCGGAAAATCTCAATCAAATTCTTTGTGAAGCTGTAAAGTTGGTTAATTTATTAAAAGCCAACTGTTACAGAACAGGTTGTTTGCTAAACTATGCGATGAAATGGGCAAAAATAAAAAATCTCTTCTTTTCCATACAGAAGTTAGATGGTTATCGCAAGGAAAAATGTTAACCTGGGTATTGGAATTGAGAGATGAATTAATAATATTTTTCCAGGATAAACAATTGCCATTCTCATTGTTTTTACAGAATAATGAGTGTCTATTGTTGTTGGCTTACTTAGCTGATGTATTTTCGCATTTAAACGATTTGAATGTGAATTTACAAGGACGTGATAAAAACATTTCATTAATGACAGACAAAGTTCATGCGTTCATTAAGAAGCTTGATATCTGGATTATTCGTCTTCAAAGCAAAAATTTGGATATGTTCCCACTCACTTCGAATTATTGTATTTCACGGAATATAAGATGCACTTTTTTCTTCAAAAAAATTGCCTCCAAAATTCAGGTGCATCTTATACTTGAAATTAATATAAAAATATCTAGTGTTTGATTTAAAATTCCCGCGTCTTAAAAATGGCTATATATTTGATGCCGTGGGAAACCTATCTCTATCTGGCAACATTGAATACAACTGGCAGCAGTAGTGCACCGATGTGATGAACATGAGTTGCGGGGTGTCAGGATAGAATTGTCTGGACATACGATTTCTGTGCTTTTTCTCTTTTCAAACGAGCAACGATTGTTGCCACAGAAACTCGGATCACAAGATGACCGGTGGTTCTGAATTCATGACCACAGATTGGCCAGCAATCATTGTGCAACCATTGTATGATCAGGGGACGTCTGATAGCGCTACTAAGCGTTGATTCATATGGATTCATACTCTTTTATACAGATCAGCGTTTGCTTCAATCCGTATAAAAGGATTGAATTTAGGCAGTATAAATGGTAAAAATGTTATTTTTTAAAAAATTGCTTAAAAATTAAGGTGCATCTTATAGTCTGTAAAATATGGTATATGGAGAAAAATTTGGATGAACAAGACACTATTATCACGGGTGCACAACCTGCGGCCCGCGGGCCACATACGGCCCCCTATCAATGTTTATGCGGCCCGCGGACGGTACAGGCCAAATCCCTTCTTTCCAAGTTTCTAAGTGTAGAACTTTTTCCCTTTCACAAAGTCATTAACACCCAACTGTTTTATGACTTTCCCTGAGGTGAGAAATAGGGGATTGTTCTATAAATAAGTCTATTTTTAGCTAACACTTTCTGCTTTAGATATTGAATATTTTAAAATGATGNGCCATTATGCTAGACATCAAGAAGATTGCCGCCAGCATCCAATCTCAGCCATCGCATTAATCACTTGGAGGTCCGGCCCCCAGTCAGTAAAGTTAATCCTAATTTGGCCGTTTTTCAGAGAAGGTTGTGCATCCCTGCTATTATTCACCACAGTTTGGATTGCATGAAGATTCATTTGCATGAGCTAAAAACTCAGTTGATAGAGTATTTCCCAGAAGATAAAAATGATTTCTCGAAGAGATGGGTACTGAATCTGTTTAGTGAAAATGTTTTTGCCACTGCTAAGTTACCAGTTGAGATTCACAACCAGCTCATTGAAATGGCTGCCAACAAAACACTACAACTGCAATTTACATCAGAAGATTTAAATATGTTTTGGCTTGCTCGTCGACATGAATATGAAAATTTAGTCACATAAGCACTGAAAATATTAATCCTTTTCACCCTGTCTTATCTCTGTGAAAAGGATTTTTTGTCTATGGTTGCACTAAAAACTAAATACAGGAATCGTCTTTTATCACTCAAAAACAATTTGCTTTTGTGTGTTTCTAACATAGATCCACGTAGGGAGAAAATTTTAAATGAAAAACAAATGCAACCATCACATTAATTTCTTTTTTTTACATGTGTACTTATTGTAAGTAAAATGTTTATAAGTTTATAATAAATCATTTTTTCTCATAAAATTATTTCATTATTGTTTTGTGACCCCCCCTTTAATATCACTGCAACCCCCAGGTTGAGAAATGCTGCACTACAGTATCCCATTTAGCTTTACTAAGTATCTATATTGAATTAATAGCCAAGATATTGTTTACAATACAGTATTAATTAAAATGTTTATTATTCAATTATTCCTGTGTATCATAATTTTTTTTTCCTTTTTTTATATAATTATTTTAAATCTGGAGAAATTGAAAACTTCCTATAAGATTTTCTGAAAAATTTTAAAATTTTGTGACATGGCAATGCTGGTTGTACAGTATGCCTGGCAGTACAATCACTTTGTATACAAGGACATGAGATCGGTGTTGCCAAATCTTTAACAAGCTTTTCCCTATTCGCGTTTTTCATGAACTATAGAGGGCGCTGTATTTTTACAAAATGGCTACTCTATCTGGGTCGTTTGTTAGTCGTCAATGTAAAATGAATTATATATTACTATCTGATATAATGAAATATGCTACTTGTAGCAGTTCATCGAGAAATTTTATAGAAGGAGAACAAGTATTACTAGCAGGACACGTCATTTTATGTGGTATTATCGAGAAAAACGAGCAAGATCGTTCTGTACATTTTTGTGCTCTTTGTCTGCAAACATCAGCATTGACTTCTATCCCACACAAAATTACTGGAATTTTAAAGTTTATCGACATATCATATAAAATTGAATAGAATTACATTTTATTGAAGATAATCCTATAGTATAGGTTAAAAACGAATACAAATACTAAATTACTTTATACTTAGACTCTATGCAATCTTTTTCAGTTTGATTTTTTAATACTATCGAATTACAATAATCTAAACATATTTATAAAAACATGATAGCATACATGACAAAATATAATCTTCAGGAGTAAAATGTTTCAAACATACTACCATATACTTCGTAACTTTTTTGCCAATTCTTAGCAGTCGAATCCACTCTTTCCGTCGGTTAATTTCTGAGATTCTCCGAATTCTGATTTACGAAAAATCATCTGTTTTTCATGTGGGAATACATGAAAACTTATATCGGAATCGCGTATGGCTTTGGAATTACAATTTGGAACACAACAGAAAGCTTTACTTTTACTATTCATCTCTACTGTATACAATACTGTTGACAATACACGAAGAACATTCAAACGACCCAGATAGGGTAGTTCAGTTTTTAAACACCAGAGGGCGAGCATCCGGTGAAAAACGCGAATAGCAACTACATTTTTCCACCCTATTTGACCAAGTTTCCCCAGGATTTTCAGTGATTAAAATTTTTCCTTCTTCAATATTTTAACCTCCTGACAACATGGATGTAAATTTGGTTGGGTATTGCTCAAGTGGACATTATATGGCACATGACTGTATATCAATCTATAAAAATAATTGAAGAAATTTTATATTTTCTTTAGGAAAAAATAATTTAATTTAATGCAAAAAATCTTGTTTATTATATTAAATGTAAATCTATTGATTTTTCAAGTATGTATGTACATACATACGTACATAAAATCATATAATAAAGTGGTAGTATACTTGTTATGTTTTTAAAGATACTGGAATGTTTTTCTAAATTCTTAGTAAATAATTAATTAGTTCATATTGAAATAATCAAATGACTAATCTAGTTTAAATACAAAATAATTTATATATTATTTATCATTTCTCCTACAATAATTCAATTAATTCCAATTTAAATTAACCTCCATTAATTCAATGAAATTAATTAATTCTTATATTTTGACAAATGTAATAGTTCTAATTTAAATCAACAAATTATCTCTTGTCAATTTTTTAAAACTTCTTATATATTTCAGTTTTAACTAGTAACAAATTAGTGTTATAACTGAATAAATAGTATTTTAAGTATATTTGAAATGATGTCTGAAACTCTTGGATATTTCAAACTGAAATTTTAATAGTGTGAAATATCAGAGTTTTAAAAATAATAAATTTCTTAATTTTTGGAACATAAGCATTTAAAAGAGGTTAGATAAAACAAACTTTTTAAAATACTGAACTCACAAATAATTTATGGAAACTTTTTAAAAATATAAAATCATGGAACACAAATCAATACAATACTTGAACCTTTACACAATTTTTATCTATTTGTTGAATCAAAAAAATAATGAAATTAAAAATAACAGAAGAAACTTAGAATTTAATCTAGTACATTATATTATATGTAAATAATTTTAAAATGTGAGAAATTTATTATCTTTATTGATAGGAAAGAAGAAATATATACTTGGACTGGTGTAGATTGCTGTGTTCATAACATTATTGTTGGAAAAATGTGGCTTGAACAAGTAAGTTTCTCAAATATTAATTTTACTAATAATCAATTTTTTGCTGGCAGAAATTACTTTATTTCTATAAACTTAATAAAATCATTTGTATTTAATTTCTTTAACAAAGAAAATTATAAAATTGTTTTAATTTTTTCAAAAATAAGGAAATATACAGGATGTCTATAAAGTCTGTGTGCAATTTAAAAAATTTATAACGTTATCAGTATTTGTGATAGAGAAATTATGTAGAATGTATTGGAAATAAGAAAAATCTATATTTTTTTATTGTTTTATTGTAGCCAAGTTCAGCCAACCAAAGGACATAGTTTACTTTTTCTTAAGTTGAAACCATAGGTCATAAGTAATTCTGAAAAAGAAGTTTTTAAAGTTTAAAAAATTGTTAAATTATTGTGTTAAAAAGTTACTGAATAATTTTACTTAAAACTAGGTACATTAAGCTTGCTAATACTTTTTACAGATTTTTTCTATCACAAATACTAATAGTTATAAATTTTTTAAATTGCACACTGACTTTATCCATAAAGTTAGTGTGCCTGTATGCCACCCTGTATAATGATGAAAGTACAGTTTGTCTTTATCCATAAATTCTATTATCATCTGATAATATAAACTATATAATATAATAAAAAACAAATATCAGAAATTGAGATTTCTAGATTACATGTTTTTAGAATCATAAAATTTCTTGACATAATAAACATACATGAAAAAAACAAAAGTTTTTAAAGAATTTTTGACATTATTTATTTTTTTAAGAGTATTTAGAAAATAATTTATACTTGAAAAAATAGTTTTAGTTTGTTAAGTAACAAAAAAATATAAAATTTTTTTATTTGAATAGTCAAAGGAGAACACATACAAAAGATTTCAGTATGTTGCATGATTTTGGCATTAATTCATTTACATATAAATATGGTATATTTTTTATGTAGCTATAATTCACAATTGATATAAATTGCAAAATCTGAATATAAATTTGTCTAAAGAGAATTGATTATACAAAATCTCACTTATATGTTGACGACAATTAAATAATTTTTTTTATTGTATAAATATAGGTAATGGCTGAAGATTCATTTAAAGTTACTGTACAGAGACAAAAAGAAAAAAAAACCATTTCTTAAATTTCTGTTTCAAAAATTCTCATCCAGTCTAGATTAAATAATTCAATGAGGAACAAAGATTTTTAAGCTATATTGTTCATAACAGAATTATAACACCTACATTTAATGTGATAGTTTATTGAAATCTAAAAAGTGTTGGAAATTAAAAAAGCAAAGAATAAATACTTTAGACAATCTCTTGCATTTGATATCTATTATTAAGTTATAGAAAGCTACACAAATAAGGCAACATTGATCAGAATTGGATGACAAAAATGTTAATCAATTTTGTCAATTTAATGGTTTTTTTGTTGATGGTCAATTGGTTGAGAGAGAATTTTCTACATTATAATTTAATGTGTTAAATTTATTGTTTGGGAATTTGGTATATGGTATCTTATCTTAGTTGTTCTTCTGAGTTAAATACAGGCAACCCCCCGTATAACACGGTAGGTTGTTCCAAAAAATTGCCAAAAAATTGCCGTGTTATGCGAATCCGCGTTATACGAAACAAAGAACTAATATGAAAAGGAGGGTTAGGTTCCAAAAATTAAAAAACATGCTAGTATATTTTCATAATTAAGATAAATATCTTCATTAAAATTTTTTTAAGTGATACATATTAATATAAATTAAACAATGTTTTCTTCGTCATCACTAAAAACACTATTAATTAACCGAGAGCGTTTTCTTTTTGGCAAGTTATCCTTATCCTCTGAGCATTTTTCTGCATTATCTTCAGATCCATGCTTTACCTTTTGCAAAATGTATGTAATTTTAGATTGCTTGCTTCTAGTTAAAAGGTCTTTATAAATTTCCTTATATGGTGCTAAGCACTTATGAAGAATAAAGCAAGTATGGAATAAGGGAAAAACATTCGGCAACATCAGAAGCAGAAGCGTCGCGATCTGGCAACATTGAAACAAGTTTCGAGAAGGACCACGTGTATCGACAGAAGGCGAGAAGAGAAAATTTACATACTTAAGTACTAATAGTTCACGAAAATAATAATTTTCGTGAACTATTATTAGTTAAATATGTAAAAATTTATTACATTTCCTGTTGTTCGAGGGTTTTACCCAAAACCGTGTCAGAGTAAATCCGTGCTATAAAAGTACCGTGTTATACGGGGGTTACCTGTATTCAAATACCAAAGTAGTTCACCAATAGATAGCAATAGCAATTTATTTATGAACTAGTTTCAAGTACAAAATAAGTAACCAATGGTATCTCAAAAAACAAATATTAAACTTATGGAATTTACTATTACATGTGTAATGCTTTAAAATTTGAAAAATGAACTTATTGATATTTACCTAGGATGTCATAAGTATATAACAACTTAAAGTGGCATTTAGTGTCAGTTTAATTACATATACTCTCATTAAAATTTATTGGCTTAGACATAAAAAAGGAAATCACTTTAAATTTTGCAGTAATAGCAGATTAAAATTCTGCCCATTACTATAATGAATTGAAATATTGTATTCATATGTAATTGATTAAAAAGATTTAAATTTGTGAACATTAATAGTTATAATTTTGTTTAATTTTTATAGAGTAATGATTACAGATTATGTTTGGTATTTTATTCAAAAATTAATGATGCACACTTGGTTTTCATATGTCAAATGTACTTAAAAATTACTGATAAATTTGCCAGTTTATGAATAATTAAAATAATTGTATTCCAACCTAATCAATCATTACAGTCCAATATTTTTATTTAATATAGATTTTCTGGATTAAATTTAGTTTTATGTTGTTTTGAGTTACAGCAATAGAATACTGAAGATGAAACCATATTATTGTAGATTCACTTTTAGAATTTTAAATATTTAGCTATGTTATAACAACTTATCATGGAATACTTAATAAAAATAATAAAAGATTATGCCTAATGTAGAAATAAGTTATTCCTTTCTTTAATATTTAAAATTAATGATCTTAGCCATTTTATAAACTAACTAGCTGTTACCCACAGCTTCACCTGCACAGAATTTGCAATTTGATAGAAATAACCCTCCCTCGGTACTTCACTAAGATTCTCAATCATTAGTTGTTACTATAAAAACAAAAAAATTGCATATAAAATAGTACAGTAGAAACTGTTCCTCAGGTTAAGCCTTAATCCTCTCCCTCTCCCCCATGGGGAATTTCGAAAAATCCCTTCTTAGTGTGCATTTTCATGACGCACCCTGTGTACCAAATTTCACCTCTTTAGGTTCAGTGGTTTGCTCTGGACGATGATGAATCGCCCAGTTAGTCACCCAATCAGTCAGTCAGGACATGTAATTTTAAGTTATATATTTAGATATTTAGATTCTTTCAATGTTGATGCGAAATTCATTATAAGAATTTTCAAATATAGCATAAGATTGAAAATTATGAAAATAGGCTAAATATTTTGAGATGTCTATATTCTTGAAGAGAATATTTTATATAGTAACAACTTACTTTTCATTGAAAATTTTTGTTTTAGATTTCTTATGGCAGTATTTAGATACTTCTAAGAGCACTTTAATGAGTATTAGAAAGAATTAAATGTTCTACCTTCCTAGTTTACAAGTTACTGCAGTATTTTAAGTGGGATTTAGTGGAATTTTGAATATAGTGTGTCCTAGAGGCAAGTGCTGGCTCCATATTATATGTGACCAAATGCAAAATGTAAATATATGAGCTTTTTGTATGAACACAGAGTCAAGTATTAACTAATTAAAGAGTCCATGCAAATGTGCAGATCACAAACCTGTGAAGACAGCTCTGCAAAAAGAAATTATTCTTTGTGATAGTTTATATTTATGGTCTAGTCCGAGGGATGATCAAAAACTAAGGTTACAAAGCCTGCAGTGAAAGTGTACATTTTATTTCATACAACCAAAACAGCCAACTGATAGTACATACATTAGGTTATTTTTCAGCATAGTCTCCATATTGGTTTAGGCACTTGTCACTTCGTGTGAAGAGTTTGAAAATTCCCTCCTGGTAAAAATCCTGTCCTTGTGTGTTCAGCCAAGCTTGGAGCTATAGGGAGGGTGGTCGATGATGTCCTAGCAAAACTGTTTCAACAGTGTGGTGGTCTTCTGGGACCACCCTCCTTACAGCCCGGACCTTGCTGCAAGCGACTTTCACTTGTTTCCTCACTTGAAGGAGAACCTAGCAGGACGACGATTCGCTTCAGACGAGGAAGTGAAACACTTTGTGACAACTTGGCTGAACATGCAAGGACAGGATTTTTACCAGGAAGGAATTTTCAAACTCATCACACGAAGTGACAAATGCCTAAACCGATATGGAGACTATGTCGAAAAATAACCTAATGTATGTACTATCAGTTGGCTGTATTGGTTGTATGAAATAAAATGTACACAGTAGGATGGAGAAATCACTGAGATCACATATAATGCCAATCTCAGTGATTTCTCCATCCTACTATACAGTATTTGGCATGAATATCAACCCATTGATTATTAAAATGTACGCTTTTCATTGCAGGCTTTGTAACCTTAGTTTTTGATCATCCTTCATAATAGATCCATTATCTTCAAAATTTATCCATATTTGAGAGTAGTTGATAGGATTTGCTGAATGTAAGAAAAAGGATATCATTCTAGTTTCAAAGTTATAAGAAGACATTCTAATAAGATAATCAAAATAACATGAATGAAAATAACATAATTAAGAAAGAAAAAGTACTTTAACAGGAAACAATAAGTAAAAATTTCACAAAAAGTGTATAATACTTTTATTTCTTAAATTTTTAAAAAATTAAACCAAACAAGAAATTGATAAAATGAAATTTAACATTTATTTAACAGTTTTTATTGGATTCTTGATTTTTTATAAATTTTTTTAAATGCCAACAAATAAAATTTGCATTTACTTCTGCTTTTATATTAAAAACTATATAATTAATAACATTTTTATAAATATATTTTAGTATGGAAATACAGAAATTATTTGTAAAAAGAGTGGTTTAAGTACTGTTCTTCATTTTAAACCTTGCAACTGGCTTGGTCAAAATGCACACACTGTTGAAGGCTATATTACAGACAAAAAGTAAGTAGTAAAGTTTTTACGTATAGAAATTTTGTTTCATGCTAGTGGAAACTGAAATATGGCAAAAATTATTAATAAAACTTTTATAAATTGTCAAATTTTATTTAAGAACTAATAATATTGATACTAAATTACTAAATCAGTTTATAAACTTGGATTTGTTTAATGGCAGTATTAATCAACATCTTACAGTATCATGAATAATACAATCATTAATACTATTATAAATATAATAAATATATATATATATAAAAGTGCAGATATTCTATAAATGTAAATGTATGATATTTTAAAGAATATCACACATTTACATTTTTTTCTTGTATAAATATATTTCTGTATAATATAAGAAATATAAGAAATTAATATAAATGAATACAAATTAATTAATATAAGAAATATATTTCTTATATTTCTATTTAATTATTTATTTATATTTCTATTCTATATTAATTATATTAATTCTTATTATATTTTTACATAATAAAAAACTTTCAAAAATTTTGTTGCATTTGGACTGCTAAATATCTGTCTAGGTAGTATTGAATAGAAATATTTTAGTTATGATCACAGTGTAATATTTAATTTTGTAATAATTGTATAAATTAACAAAATTTCAGATTTAACATATTCAACATGGAATTGGCAAGGGATGCTTCTGACTCTTTAAAAACAAAAATTAATAAATTACATCTTTATTTGAGAACACGCAAGAATCTAAGTTGAGAAATATTTTTAACTCAAAATAAATAGTTTCTAGGAAATAAATGAACTGAACTGAAAATATTTGTTAAATGCCAAAATAATAATTTCAAGTAATAAAGAACTAAATAACATTGCAGCACAAATGTTTGAAGTTATTAGAATTATTATTTAACCCAGCGTGAGTGAGGTCGGGTATGTCATACCCGAGAAAATTTTAAATGCAGATTATTTAATGTTATTGTTGCCATGCAAATCCCCGTTTTCACAGTAGCTGGATGTAAGGGAGTGGGGGGCGAGGCGAAGCGTTGAGTTTAGTGTTTTGCCGGTGTCAGCAGGAGATACACGAGCAAAGATGGCTGGGGTACGTCACACCCGACCTCATAGTCAGTGTTATCAATACATTTTTGAGTTGACAGTAAGTTTATGATTTATAGTATTCTTAGATTTATTTCTAGATTTCTCAAATGATAGTCTTTGCATTAGACAACAAAACATACATCTTCCAAGGGAAACTCAAAAAGTGATTACTGATCATCTGGGAGAACCTTCATTACCTGTTTCCAAAAAAGTGGCTGGTAAATATGTCAGGTGTGGTGACTGCACTAAAAAAACAGATAGGAAAACAAAACATTGCTATTCGAAGTGTGAGAAGGCAATATATATGAAGCATGCAATTTTTATGTGTGGAGATTGTGCTGATTTGTAGGTGTAATGTTGATGCTGTGCAAATTGATCTCATAAGACCTTTTAGTTTTTTTTCTATTTTTATAATTGAAAGATACTATAGTTATGTTGATTAACCAAAGAAGTTGTAATTTTGTTAGAATTTTATATGGAAAAATGTTAAACTATCAAAACTTGTACTTTTTCAAAGAAAATATAGACACTTTGTTATTTCAATTAAAAAGAATGCTTTTCAATCTTAAACATAATATTTTATTTACTTATCTTGTTGAATAGATACTATTACAGTAGAGCATCGTTTATCCGAAAGTCGGTTTTCCGAAACGTCGGTTATCCGAAAGAATTCCAGTCAGCCTAAAGTATAATTTTTATTTGTTTTTATATTTTTCAATGTATTTATTTCGTTTGTAAAACATAAAGAAATCATTTTTAACGATACAATAGCCACGATTATTATTTTAAAAAGTTTACGTTAGGCTTAACATCGACGAAAATTCAACGCGAAGCGACACGCAACGGAGAAAAATTTCAACACGGGATAGGTTAATATATTTTTT